CAACCTCCATCTCCCTCACCAACCTCCATCTCCCTCACCAACCTCCACCTTCCCCATCAAGTTTTTGCCCAAATACCACGATTTTGAAGTCATTTTACACGCTCAGAGTGCAGGTGAACTCGACCCCCCCAGTGAGAAGGGTTAATCCCCCAGAGGAACATCTGAGCACGTTCCCTCTGCTCCCCACTGCACCTCCAGGACAAATCAGGACGAGTTGTCGAGTTAAACACAAGCAGCCAAGTGACTGAATTATAATTTACTCTGTGCTCAATTTAAATTAGCGTGAGGCTATTAAAATATACAGTATAAATACAGCAATTCATCACGAGCTGTCATGGATGACTTCAGCTATTTGCTGGAGTGGCACACGTTGCACTGAAGGGAACCAGAGCCAAATCACAGGTCAAATTAAGCTGCTATTCTGCTTTAATTCCCTCCTTTAATCTGTGGTGACATAATTGTCTTTTACAGTATGTACAACTCCGAGGAAATTCGGGAGCATTACAGGCAGTGCACAAATGATTAATCAAATGGTCCATTTAAATGCCAGCTTAAGAGCAGGGGGAGCTCAAAGCAGTGGGGGGATGGAAAGGAGCCAGGGCACCCTCACATTTTTCACCTGGGTTTTGCCCTTTAATTGGGAGAAAGTTACCTTTGGAAAAGCCATTAAATCCTCCACGTAAAATATGGAGTTTGGTCCCTAACAGAGGTGTTATGTTATGGATTCTGTGTCTTTTATTTGCAAGATTATCCCTGTGCTGAAAGCATTTTAATCAACAGGTTTTTGGAATATTATCTTCTCCTATCAAACCCTTATATTATCATTTTTAAAAGTCCCAACAATGCAGAATTCTGCTTTACCAGACCCACCCAGTGATGTTCCTATCCTGGGAATCCTCTGTCAAAAGACTGGATGCACGTGATGATCATTCCAAGATGTTGGAATTACCATCCTCTTTTACTGCTGGTTAAGCCAAGATATAAGTAATTTAAGTAATTATTTTATATAATGATATATAATTTTAAATATTATATATAATATATATTTTATATATATGTAATTACTTTATATAATGATATATAATTATAAATATTATACATTATATATATTTTATAGATATAATTATACATAATTATAATTATATACAATATAAACTGTATATAATGTAAATTATATGAAAATATATATCATATAGAAATGTACATAATATACAAATATATATATATATACTTCATATATATATATATATATATGAAGTATTGGGGTAATTTCTTCAATAGCAACTTGACACAATCACCATCAGAGCAGGTTTCTCTCCAGCTCATGAGCACCTTATTTTAAACTATATATATTTATAACACATATATATGTTATATGTAAGTTATATATTATTTGTAACATATATATGTTATAAATATATAAATATGTTATATTTATATATAACATATATAAATGTTATATTACATTATGTTATATAACATTATGTTATAAATATATAAATATATAACATATATATAAATGTGTTATATATTGAAACCGTATCTATTTATAACACACATATTGATTTAATATCTCTTTGAAATCACCCCAAATAAAACATAACTGACAGTGACAGGCCCAGCACGAGCAGAACCTACAAGAAAACCCAGTTTCCCAAATCTCCAGGATGCTCATTATCCACCAGGAATAACCAAACCCATGGACTCGAAGGGAAAAAGGAGGTGAAATTGCTGAAAAAAGGGGTTTTTTTGCCACAGGGAGGTGATTTCAATTAACCTTGCAAAGGGTGAACTCGCTGATCCTCCTGCCTGAGTGAATTCCCTGGATTTCCTGGTGCTCCACCTCCTCTCCAGGCAGGTTCCCAGGGCATCCCCAAGCTTGGAAAAGCTCATTTGAGGAAGCACTGGAGAAGGTACCAGGGAAAAGCAGCTTCCTCACACAAGCCCAGATCTGGGAAGAGCTTTTCCCTGGGGGAAAAACCTGGATTTTTGGGAATCTGTGCTCATTTGGAATGACTAAAATGGAGGGTTTCCTGCATAAACAATGTGGATTTTAATGCAATGAACCAAACAGAGATCCAACCATCAGAAGGAAGGGAAGGAAACCAAGGTCAGGAAAGATTGGAAAGAAAGAAAATTACTGGAATCTCTTACCTTTACTGCCAGTATTTTTCCACTACGGACATGGTATGCCCTGTGTGAGGGGAAAAATAGAATTAATTTTAAATAATTCAACAAATTAAATAAAAATTAAATAAAATTAAATATTTTTAGATCACATATAATTCCCTCTATACATTTGTGCAACTTGATTTCACAGAAAAATAACTTGGAGCTCAGATGTTTTATGTAAAGCCAATTTTAGACAGCATTTCTCAAGGAGAACTGGTGAAAACAAGCGATCAAAAGGATGTATTTGCAATTAAATATTTATCAGGGTTTGTATCTGTAAAATAAACACAATGAAGATTTTGATACAGAGGAATATCAAACTTTTAATGGGAATTTAACAGAATCACAGGATCATTCAGGTCGAAAAAGACCTCCAAGATCATCATGTCCAACCTTAAATCTTTGAGTCCAACCGTGAATTTATCCCCTTTCCTATTTCCTTTCAATGAAATCAATTAGGAAATAACCACTATTCAGAATTTTCATGGAAAATAAGGTTTATCTCCCAGATCTGCCAGTCCTGTGGGTGTTTTCAGTGGGAAGACAGTGAGACACTTAGATATAAATATTAAAGTGAATTAAAAGCACTTATGACCAATTCTTTAGTATAACCTAAAGACCCTCAGAAAATATCAGTAAAATTAAATTCCTGTGTTGCTATTTAAGATCAGTGTTGGCATATAAAGTTAGGAAGAATTATTGTTCATGTGCACATGTACACAAAATAATTTTGCAGAGCATTTCAACAGCAGTTTTTCTTCATTTCTTGTGGATAAACATTTATAATTGGCTATTCAACAATGACCTGCCTACTCCTACCCATGAACATGTAAGAAAATAAAGGCAGGTGAAAAAAAAAAACCCTATTCAAAATCCAATGTAATTTTGCATAAAAACAAAACCATTAAAGGTTTTCCTCTTCACTAGTTTTACTGTCTCATACTGATTTATGGCACCACACTCAATAATGTCATATATGTGGCACTAACTTTAAAGAATTATAATATTTTACCACTCTCTACCTCTAGCAATTATTACTGAAGAAGAAAAGCTTTAATGGTTGGGTTTTTTCATGCAAAAATCACACCCAGACAGGGTGAAGTTGTTGTTTAATCTTATTTAAAACCCTGAGCTCTTCTATAATTCCCGTTAATAGCTCAGAAGTTTCTAAAAACTTCACCTTAATTGAATAACTCCTGGAAGAACATTTATGTGGCATCATCAGCTTTTAGGAACAAAAAAAAAAACAAACAATCAATGTGATTTAAGGAAGGAGGATCATCCTGGGGAGCTCTGACAGAGCAGGAGCCGGATGAATAATCCATGAATCCATGAACTTGCTGTAACTAGGGACGAATCAAGAGTGGCAAAACATTGTGGGCTTGAGAGGAGCAGGGATGAGGAGAGCAGGACCAGGTTGAGAGGAGATGCTCAACGTCTGTTGGCTGAGCAGGGCCCACCCAGGCCAGGTTGGCAACTTAATTAGGCTGTCAGGAAAGCTGAGCCTTTTTCCATGGGAGAGATCTCCTGTTTCCAAGTGAATTAAAAGGGAAGACTCGATGATTTAATTATGATGCACGCTAATTCATCCGTGGAAGTTTGGGTTGAGTTTCCAGCAGAGGGCAGGTCCCTGGTTTGGTTTACAGAGCACTGACAGCACCAATTTAACATTTAATTATGGCTGGGAATTGGATCACAAAGGGACACCGGGCCCATGGGTGGCTCTGCAAGGCCAGGAATTTGTTTACTCCGGGCAGCTCGACTGTCCTGACCTTCCCCAGCACAATAACTGCAAAGTGATTAATGAACTTTGAATGGGAGCTTTGGTTACACCAAAAGACAACCCTACACCTCTGCAGTGTTTTAATTAACAACTAACCCTTCAAATTAGGCTCTGGTTGCTACAGTAATTACCTGTTCCACCCAGCAGGGAGGGAAAAGGGGGTTTCATTGGATATTAGGTAGAACTGGAAGTTGGAATGGATCAGAATGGATCATTTTGGTTACAGTTGATCGTTGTGGTTACAGCCAAAGCCTGAAGATTTAGTACCAGCTTTTGAAGGATGTACTAAAAAATAAATCCCATGGAATAACGCGCACAGCACGGAGAAAACCAACATTTTGCTGCATACCACACCCATTAGCAAATTTATGAATGTCTATGAGGAGATTAAACCAATATTTCATTCTAAAAGTCTCATCTCAAGGGTCAGCTCTCCCAGATTTCGGTACCACCTCCAAAAAAAGTAAGTGAACAAACTCATCGCTGTAGAATAATAAGAAGAAAAAAGGCAAAAAACCCCTCATCACTGTAGAATAGTAAGAAGAAAAAAGGCAAAATGCAAAAGGTTCCTCAGAAACCTGGAACATTTCAGTGAACACACTTAAAAATCTTCCAGGACGGGCAGGAAAATGCCTAAAAAAACAGCTCCAACAACAACTCTCGCTGGGGATGAGTTTCAGTGAAGACAAGTGGATGTTAAAGAGGAGGGAAAACAGTTGCTAAATAGCTGCAGAGCTGCTTAAAAACAAACATAAAGAGCAGAAATGAAATGCATGGAAATGAGAAACATTCAAGGAAAACATCGTTTGGGTGTTTGCAAAATTTTATCCCTCGAAAAAAACCAGCTCTGAGGAAACAAATTAATTCTTCTGCTCTTTTGTTTGTTGGGGTTGGGTTTTGGTTTGCTTAAAAATCTCATATATTACAGTAAAAAGCTGTAACAGATGATTGAGAAGAGGTGGCTATAAATCATTTGTTGTTAAGGAGAAATCAGAGACACATCAGAGAGAGCCAAATTCTGCAATCAAGAGCATTAAAAAGCAATTTTGAACACTTGATGCCAGTGCCAAATATTAAAAATATAGAAAAGCTACTTTAGTTTTGCAGGAATTTTACAAACACCACGGCATGGAGTGTTCATTTTACTCTCCAGAGAGGAAGCTCCAAGCAAACAAATAAAGGAATATATATAAAGGGACAAACAAAGGAATATATTCTCATGCAGAGCCTGATCCCAATTCCACTCGGGTTAGTTGGGGGATTGTATCTATCAGAAATTTGATGTTTTATTATTTTAAATGCAGATTTATAGAAATTTTAGGAGATCAATAATCACCACAACAACTTCCTCCAATAATAAAAATAATTTAAATACACATTTTAAAAAAATGACACTGTATTTATTAAAATAGTAGAAAAACAAACACGACAGCAACAGAAAATTCAGTTGGTGCCCAATTTCTGCACATGAAAAAACTGTAACTCCAATACTCTGCACTGAACTATTTTTTAAATTTCTATTTTATTTAAAAAGAGGCAGTTCTTAGCTATTGTAGGCACAGCATTTTTGAGGCTTAGGATAATGATTAAAGCCATTAAAAAAAGGGCAAAGCTCAGGGATCCCTTTTGGGATCCCAACCTTACAAGACAATGAATTCTTTTCAAATTCACCGAAGTCTGACTGCAAAAAGGGCATCTCTAAAAAGAGCGGATAGTGCAAAAAGTTATAGATAAAATCCATATATAGATATAAAGACAGAGATATAGATATAAATATATATCAGTTAAATATATATCTTTAACTGATCAGCAGTGAGAGCTTCAAAGCAAACAGGAACTGTTGTTTAATTAAAACCAAGTTTTAATAACTCAGATCAGTAACTCCCCCAACAAAATTTTTTACAGGTTTCATAAAAGAAGGAAGAAATTTTCAGGGAGGATGGAGGAAAGAAAGCAGCAACTTTCAAACCCCCTCAGGAAAATAAACACATTCCACCAGCAGAGGCAGTGTGGTAGAAGGCAGTGTATGAGTTTCAAAAAAGAGGGAAAGAGAGGAGAAAAAAAGCCAGAAAAGAGGGAGAAGTTGAGTTTTAGAGGGGTTTTCCTCCCCCCTGTTGGCCCAGGAGATGGAGGCAGCGGCCAACACAGAATCCTGGAATGGTTTGGGTGGGAAAGAACATTAAAGCTCATCCCATCCAGGCTATGTAAAGCTCATCTACAGGCAGGGACACCTTCCACTAGTCCAGGTTGCTCCAAGCCCCGTCCAACCTGGCCTGGAACATTCCAGGAAGCATCTCCCTGTGGGAAGTTCTCCCAGTGAACACACAGAGGTTGTTTTAATGCTGTGTGAGCACAGGCCAGGCTGAAACATTCCCACTGGGGAGCAGAAACTGAAATCCCTTCCTCCCCATAACCACTGGAGTTGATGATTCCAAGCCCCCACCTCCATGACAAGGAGCAGCTTCTAAGCAAGACTGGCAGAGTTGTGGCAGATATTTTATTAACCTTGACTATTAACCATCTCCCCGGACATTTAGAGCCCTGAAGGGACACACAGGAGCCAAGAACTTTGTCTTCCCCCCTCTGGAAGTGCAGAGTGTCCCTCAGAGGTGGTGTAGTCAAAAAAATAGGTTATTTTGGGGGAATAAATAAGAAACACGGTGTGTGAGCAAGCCCTGCTTGAACAAAGCCCTCCAGCTAAGCCAGATAAACTTGTGATGGACTGCAGAGTATGGAACGTGCATCCCTTGTGTCCCAGAAAATCAAAATCAATAGCAGGGAAAACTAGAATAGGGCTTTGGGGGAACTGCCAACTCCTCAGCATCTCTCCCCTCACCCCACGTAAGATGTGTTTCTCCAGGAAAGCAAATTAAGAATTGAAAGCATCAGAAGCAGCTGGCTTCTGTTTTAGAAGAGAGGGAAGAAAAAGGGAATTGAAAGGCACGTTGTTTTCTTCCTGAGGTAAAGAAAACCAAGGAGAAATGTCAGATGCTTTGGCTCAAACCTCAATCCCGACCCATCCTAATATTTAATGCTAAAAACTTCATACACTGAATATGAGGAGTTTCTACTCACTCAGCTCAAGAAGGAAAACAAACCCAACCAAAGAGAACACGCACAAGATTCTTCATAAACAGCTTAGATGGCAAACAACACATTTCTCCCTCTTTCAACAATTCTGTATCCTCCCTGGGAGGAATTTTACCCAAAGCCCAGGATGCTGTAATTGAGGGATCATT